CTGGTAATAGGCCAGTATGCCAAATCTGAACCACCATGCCTTTTGATAGGAACCTGCAGGATCGCTGCAGCAATGTCCGGCTCGAAGAACGCTTGCACAGTCTGATCGTTCCAAGAACCAGTATCTTCGTCCAACAGACAATGAACTGTGGCTGTTTCCGGGATTGGTGAGGTTGTCCTAACCATGCCAGGAGGAAACGAAGGGATCCAATAATCAGACAATATACGGGTGCCTTTACCATCACCAATCCTCCAGCAAATCCCTTGCTTCAGAAGTTCCCGACCATAAAGGATGCTTCGCCATGTAACTGATGCGGACCGAGGAGCTGTAGCATTCCAAAAGTCTCCATGAGGGAAATATCTTCCTTTGAGAACCCGAGCACATAATGAATCTGGTTCTGTAAGTAAGCGCCATCCTTGCTTCCCAAGCATAGCTTGATTAAAAAGTGTCATATCACGAAAGCCCATTCCCCCGAGAGATTTTGGCGTAGTGAGCCACTTCCAGGACCGCCAGTGCAGCTTCTTCTTCCCATCTTCCCTGCCCCACCAATGGTCTGAGATAATCTGACGGAACTTCTCACACGTGGCCACCGGAAGCTGAAAACAGCTCATAATGAAAGTCGGAATCGCCTGGATAATTGATTTTAGCAAAACTTCCAACCCTGCTCTGGATAAAGGCCTATCAGACCAACCATGTATACGCTGCCAAGCCCTATCCGGGAGAAATTTAAAAGTACTTGTAGGAGACCGTCCAACTACAGTAGGCATGTCAAGATAGGAACCATGGAAAGTTTCATTTGTGATTCCAAAACTTGCCATGACACGGTTCTTAACACTGACAGGACACCTGTTGCCAAAAATTATCGAGGACTTGTCCTTATTGATAAGTTGTCCCGATCCTTCACAAAATAGCTTCAGAATGGAATCCAAAGAGGCCACACTACGGATGTCACTTCTGGCAAAGAAAATGCTGTCGTCGGCAAACAGGAGATGTGAGATAGGTGGGCCAGAGCGACCGTTGCGGATGCCATGTAGCTCGCCACAATTCTCCTTCTGTAATAACAGACTCGACAATCCTTCTGTGCACAAAAGAAACAGGTAGGGGCTAATTGGGTCCCCTGACATACGTGGCATCTTAGCCAGCATTGACACTGCCTCCCGCCGATATGAATAGTTTACACATGATCGCACAATGTCAGTGTCTTCCAAAGTGTAACGATGCTCTGGAGTATAAAGCACGTCTAATGATGACGCTTGTCCCTCGCCTTGCTTGCATAACAATCCTTGAATGCGAGTTTTAACAGATTCGTGAGTGGTGTAATCAACAACATGATGTATGACCTTCATAAGACGCACAGTGACAGCTTTTTTTTTTCCTGAATGAGATTAGATTTGAAGGTGCGCAAGTGGTCCTAAAATGCAGGATAAAGGCCAACAAAGTGAGATGCCACTCTGAACTCTTCATCAGTGTGCCGCCCATGCCTAACTTTAGTCCTGCTTTTCATCATCTCGTCTCCGCTGTCTTGACCAATACATCCACAGATATCCACGGCAAAATGGAAATGAAACATTTGCAAGGGTACCCGATCTTCAAATATATAAAATAAGGTGACTAAGGGCAACTCCAAGGTGCGGACATTTTTGGCCATCCAACGGTAGTCACCAAATTTGTTCAGACCGGTCCTAACGTCCGAAATCCCACAAGTCGATACCAAACTGGGGGAGGTCTAGGGGTCCAGATGTCTGCCACGTCGCACTTATTGTTTACA